TGGCCTGCCAGCAGGTTTTCAAAGGTGGAAAATCACATAGGAGGAGACCGCTTGCTCATCTTTCCAGCCCTGAGTAGCTGGTGGATTGGTACTGTGTTCTTTTGAGTTGACAGTACAACTCCACACCACTAAGCTACCAGAGCTCTCTATAAAACTAAACATTTTAAAACAAGATGTCTTAAAAAAATCAAAATTAAAAATCAATTTTTGATAAAACAAATACTGTTTTTGTGATGTTCCACAACACTGACTGACTCATAGGAGACCCGTGAACAACAGCTCTGAACTCTTCCCTGTCCTGAGCCAGTCTCACTATTTCTGACACACCTCCCTGCACCACCCCTGTTACTGTGTCCATCCACCTCAACCAGGGCCTTCCTTTCCTGTGCTCTCCCTCCACCCTTAGAAGCATGATGTCCTTCTCCAAGGACTGGCCCCTCCTAGCCATGTGTCCAAAGTTTTTGAGATGGAGCTTTAAAACCCTTGCCTCCATAAAAGAGATACAAATCAAAACCACAGTAAGGTACCATCTCACCCAGTAGCAGTGGCAAAGCTGAACAGCAATAAATGTTGGAGAGGATGTGAAGAGATTGGAACTCTCATATTCTGTTGGTAGGATTGTAAAATGGTACAACCACTTTGGAAGGCAGAAACATAGAAACTCCATATGACCCAGCTATTACACTGCTAGGAATATACCCCAAGAAAATTAGAACTGAGACACAAATGGAGATCTGTATGCCAATGTTCATAGCAACATTATTCACCATTGCAAGAATATGAAACATCCCAAATATCCAACCACAATCTGGTGGATTGAGAAATCACACAATGGAATACTACACAGCTCTCAGGAACAACACTTTTTTAAATATTACATAACTTGAAAGAGACTGGAGGGCATAATGCTAAGTGAACTAACTCAGTCTCATTAGGACAAATACTGCATAAGTCCATTATGAAGTATCCTTCTGGAAAAACCGAAGGATAACTAGCAAAATGTGTATAGCCGCCCAAATGGAGAAGAGGTGAGAGCACAGGGATGAGGATAGGAAGAGGCTAAATCATAGGGTCACACAATTTGATGGGAAGAAAGAGGGGGTAAAGGAAATGGGAAAGATCTGGTGGGGACCTGAAAAGATGGGGTAATGGTGGGCATAGGCCAATGGTGATTCATTTTATAAAACATAGTGTATGGAAATGATTATATGAAACATAATGTCAGTGAAGAAAAGTGTGAAACAAGAAAGAAAAACCCACTATGTGCATGAATAAAATACAATGTGTATGGAAAATTATATGAATATGATCCAGGAGTTGCCAACTAAAGACTTAAGTCTAATGTTGCCAGATTTTCTAATTTAAAAAAAATAAAATAGAAATTTGTATTTTTCTATTAATTCACACAGCTTTTAGATATTGACTGGGGTGTGGTGGGGTTTATTAAATTCTATGTGGGCTAAAGGAAACGTATCTGCAAGCCAAATGTGCCTTTCAGGCCACAGATTTACCACCTTGTGCTTTATGATTAATATCTTCTCCTTTGTCTCTGACTCCTACCTCCTCCACTGGTTGCTCTGTCTGCTACTGTCCTCGATACAGAAGTGAATTTGCTTGGTATTCCTGCAGGATACATGTGCTTTCTCTCCCGGGCTTCTAAATTGTACCAGCAGCTATTTCTATGCTTTATCTTGAACTTACTTATGCTGTCTTCGACTAGTTATTTATGTATATTCTCATTCCTCCCAAAAGTAAGATAAATCCCTTAAATCATTTATTACTATTACTATTACTACCATCATTACTGCATTGGTTGAGTTCTATATCAGACACTGTGCATAGCACTTTATATATATTAACTGAGCTATTGTTCACAAGAATCCAAATGAACAACTGAGGAAATTGAGGTTTAGAGTACTTTCAATGAGTGCACAAGTCCAGAAAATTAGTAAGTAGTAAAGTTAGAACTTGAAGCCAGGCATTTTGACTTCAGAGTATTATATGCATCTTCCTGATAGTTAAGCCCTTGCAATTGCTTACACAACAGCAGAAACTCAATACTGGCTAAATACAGTCGAAAACAGAAATTTTTATATCACTTAAAAGACATTCTTTCTTAAGCATAGACAAAAATAACTAATGAGTTAATAGTTTGGATGAAAAATAAAATTAAAGTTAATATACACTAGGAATATCTGTTCTGTAAAGGAGTAGAGTTCATTCATCAGTTGAATAGATAGGTAAAGTTTATCCAAGCTACTTTTCACTATATATTCAAAAATACGGCAACCTAAAATAATATCCACGAGCTAATTTGTTGTGTTAGCCTTTCTGGCTCAATGCTGGGTTTAGTTATAAATGAAAAATTTCAAGAAGTAAATAAACAAAGTTCAAGTGATAATCTCTTTTGCATGAAAGAAGTATCAATTATTTCTTTTCAACAACCATGTTATATTTGTTCCTGCCCAATGGGAATCTCAGAATGTAATTTTCTGTCTTCTCTAAATATACCTTGTTTCACATAAAAATACATAAACTTGATTTGTGTCAAATATGGACTTGTTTTAAATATTTTATTTGAACCATAAATATAAACTCTGAAAAGTGATTCACATGACTGTTATGGAATGTGATCATATTCATACTTTATTTGAAATCCTAATGGCTAAATAAATCTCTATACTCTGTATCTTTCAACAGTAATACTTGATAATATTAAAAAGATATTTTCTAACTTTAATACTCTTCTTTGCTATCTTAGCAACTTTTTAAATCTAACAACAATGACCAAAAAAAAAATCCACTATATCATTCAAAAAAATAGCAAAATCATTTTGATTAGTCTTATTCTGCCCCTCCCCCCATCTAGGCTTACTCTTCTTGGGACGTGGAACCCAGTAACGTAAACCAGCATAACTAATGTCACTGTCTTAGAGAACATCTGAGTATGGACAAGATCCCAATTTTCTCTGTTATCTAAGAACTCAGATCTCAATCCAGAAATTAGAATTGGGAATATTACAATGTGAGATGGTTCTATATAGGTTTTGCCAGTGGTCAAAATATTTCTATTGTTGTTGTTATTAGGTGCCATCCAGTTGCCTACCACTGATAGCAACCCTAGGAACAACAAATGTGAACCTTGCCTCCCCAGCACTCTCCTCAGGACCTCTGGTATGCTCACACCCATTGGTACAGTCACTGCTTATGTTGGTGGAAATACTCCTCTCTTTCTCTGACCCTCCACCTTTCCCAGCATGTTCTTTTCCAAGGATGATTAGCCCCCCTCCTGGCAACATGCCCAAAGTTATGCAAGACAAAATTTCACCATCCTTGACTCAAAGAAGCAGTTGCATTTCCTCCAAGACAGACTTTTTTGTTCCTTTGGCAATCCATGGGATATTCAGGACTCTTCTCCAACACCACAACATAACAGCATTGATTCTTCTTCTGTCATTCTTATTCATTGTTCAACTTTCAGATGTTACAAGAATTGAAAAGAACACGGTTTGGGTCACACTTCAGTTTTTCAATTTACGTCCACACTCTTTAGCATTTTGGAGAAGTTCTTGAAGCAGATTTTCCCAATGCAAAATGTCTCTTGATTTCTTCGCTGCTTTTACCCTCGTGTTGATTGTGGATCCAAGTAAAATGAAAATGAAATCTTTCTATAGACCATCTTGATTCTGCTCCTTTCCTTTAGTTTCAAAAGGCCTCAATCAGACCCCTCACTTTCAATCAATGACTTAGAAAAAGTACTCACTTTGAATTAGAATTAGTATCTATCGGTTACTGATTTTAAAAACCTTTTAAGGAACAAGAAAATTACACTCATTTCATATTGCACCAATGTTATTTGGTGAAGCTCTTTAACAAAACTGGTAGCTAATAAAATTTTTTAAAAATAATTTTAAAAAATTATCTACCAGGAACTCTTTCTTCAGCTGAGAACTATTACCCAACTTCAAAAAGTTATCTTATTGTTAGGTACTGTCAAGTTGACGATAACACATAGAAACCCTGTGATCAACAGATCTAGACCTTCCTTACCCTGCACCATCCTCATCCCAAACTAGATCCCATAAAGTATTAAATAGAGGGGAAAGAAGAATTTTGCTTCTTCAAAGATACCACACTTCTCTTCTCTTATTTATTCTACACTGTCACCACCTTTCTAAAAAACATTTGAAAGCAGACACTAATCACTTCAAAATATACACTTAACAGAAGAAGCCAGTGACATAGTGAGATTCTGTATTAGATGTAAAATTAAAGGAGCTTAAAAAAATGTGACAGACTACATGATAAGTGACTGGTATTACTAGTAGCCAATACCTGTGGAATTAAGAGAAATAAGGTTCTGAAAGGGCCAGTGAATGCTATACCAATTCTCTTCCCTCTCCTCTCTTCTAATCATGATGAATTAGCTTAAATTCTAAATCTGTAAATAAGTATTTCCTCAGTTACTCCATTCTAGTGAAAGAAAAATTAATAGAAAATAAAAGTTACCAAAGGAAAGTATAAACTTTTATTAAAACTATTATTGCTATTGTAGTCATGGAAAAAATATAAGTCTTAGAGAAAATGCAGGCAGAGCATTCCTTGGAGGCAAGGACGATAAAGCTTCACCTCACATACTTCAGGCATGTTGCTAGGAGAGGCTATTCATTGGAGAGGGACATGATGCTCAGAAAGGCAGAGGGTCAGCAAAGAAGAGGAAGACCCTCAATCAAGTGGACTGACACAGTGAGTGCTGCAACTGGCTCTAGTGTGTCAGGAAGTGTGAGGATAGCACAGGGTAGAACTGGGCTCAGATATGTTGTTTATGTGGGTCACACTTGACAGCATCGAACAACAATAAGAAGTCATGGGAAAAAAGCAATTTGGAGATACATGTTCAGTGAACAGCAGACTGTTAATAAGTTCTATGAACAAGCTTTAGCACATGTATGTATACATAATAAACATGTACAGTCTCTATATGCTTAACTTAAGCATACCTGGTCATTTTGGTTTTCCAGATTTGAAGGACAACTGAACGTTTTGGGGGGAGCTGCAGAAAGCTCTTGGAGCTTTGTCTCAATTTCAGCAAGCTGCCGCCGCTCCTCAACAGCAAGCAGGCATCCTTCTCCTGGGACCAGCCAGCTCGACTGATCAGCCTCAAGGAAACAGATGTCACCAGGTCATTCCCACACAATCAAAAATGCCTTATATGCTACATCAGTGCTTAGGACTACACCAAAATCAACCAACGGATACTGGGATACATAAGCAAAACATTAGAAAGTTATCTTAAATGGATAAGCTCTGTTGCTTGAATTTCATTAACTCCATTGAACATCTAACACCTTATCCATTTAACTTTAGTTTCACATTGTCTTTGAGAATTTTTTCATAACAATCATGAAGACACAGGACTGGACATATTTCAATGTTACACCTAAGGTGAGTCAGCACCAACTTGATGATAACTAACAAAAAGTAGCACTCATTATTAAAATATCAACATTGTGTGCTTACTGTGGATAGGTATTCTTATCCTGGGCTCTGCTGATTCTATATGAATCTCACAGAGCTCTGCTCTTAAGAAATCTCAGTCTTTTGGCTGAGACCATGTAATAAGATATAAAGTGTGCCTGAAAGCCCAGAGCACCATGGGAACCAAGGGAGGGTCAAG